CAGACAGGCTGTGAACTCATCACAGACCATGACAGACAGGCTTTGGACCCATCACAGACCGTGACAGAGAAACTGTAGTTCTAAAGCATCAGATAAACGGTTAGCTACAAATTTATTGCAAAAAAATGGAACAAAACGATTTCCATTTAATTGGCAACACTATATCCATTGTGTTTCACATTTTCAATCCCGCAAGGGATTGCACTAACAGCTTTTCTTTCTTTGGATGAAAAGGTGAGTTGTAATTATTGTTTGCCATGTCAACATCTTTCTCGGTCGACACAAAGAGAAAAAGTTGGAAGAAATTTTTTCCATTTAAGTGCGTGTGACTGTCAGTTGTTCGTTCTATCACTCCTGTTTGACGAACTTCAGATGACAACCAATGACGAGGAGAAACTGCTCAAACAATGTCTGAGTATTCTCATCGATTCGATCAATCAATGTATCGACAACTGGCTGCTCCATCATGAAGAACAAAATCAGCAGCAGTACTTTCCAAGACCCCAATCGAACCGATTGACAGAGATTCCTCATGAAAACGATTCTTTAAGTAACAATCAATCTAACATACCATCACGTGCTGTTGAAGGCCCTCACGTGCTTGCCTCCACGATTCTCATCATAGAAGAAACATTGGAAGAAGACCTCCCTAAGTTATCGAGGAAGAGTGAGAAATTCTTACTCGATTTTCTTTATCAATATCATTATAAACCTGAAAAAAAGAAGTTCCACCCACCATTCACTTTCGATGATTTGAAGCCACTGCTTCACGATTTAAATAGTTTACTTATGTCGATAGACGCTTTTGCCGCAGCATTCCATGGAAGACTACTGTCGGTCAAAAAATTTCTCCATGATTATCCTGAATGGAAAGACAAATCCGGTTTGTGGCAAACAACATTACTTTATTCAGCAGCACGTGCTGATCGATTGGAGATGATTCAATACCTAATCGAAGAGGCACATTGTGCAATTAATGCACAAAATCAACGACGGGACGATGAAATTACCGAGGCAGGCTCGTCCACAGCTCTTCATAACGCTTGTTCAAACGGCCACTTAACTATTGCGAAATATTTGGTCGAACATGGTGCTGATTATTTCATTCGCAATCAAGTGGGTGAAACTCCAATCATGGCAGGCGACCACCATGCCCATATCAAACAATATTTCCAGGATTATCTACTGATCAAATATTCAATGGATGTGCCACCAAATTTACCGGATCGAAAGTTTTCCGATGACGCAAGACGACCGATGGCCGATGGATGGTGGGAATACAAACCTATTCGAGATCCAAAGTGGTATAAATTTTCCAAGATTGCTGCCGACGAACTTCAGAAAACTCTCTTACCAAGCAAAGAGTTTCAACAACAAGTTTATTTATCGTTGGGAGACAACTATTTGTACTTTGTTTCGACTGTAGACTTCTTCCGATCGGGAAATTATGCTGAAGATCCGGAAGGCAAGGTCGCTTGGATTCGCTCTCGTGCATCCAGCATTTTCAATTTCGATTGTCATGCTCTCTGGCAAATCATGTTGTTGAAACATCCCAACGCCAGTGCCAGTTCAGATGCTACTCCACCTATGAAAGTGGAAAGCATTCCCGAAACGAGCGACAGAACCTTTCCACTTCAGCTGAATACTTGGTACCGATGCAATACGAAAACCAATCGACTATTCGAAGATGCCATGGACATGCGACGCAAAATCATCAGAACTCACATCGATATGTTTGGAGAAAATTTAGAAATCAACTTTGAAACATATGACTTGACGAACCAGGACAAGACCATTGTGGGCTATCTTCGTTGGCTTCCCCAACTGATCTCCGACACCGAAAGAAAGAAACATAGGATCGTGGAAATCGATAATTATCAACCGATGACGAATTTAGTACCCGTTCCTCTCAGTACCAAACATTTACGAGACGTCGTCGCTAAAGGAGCCAATGATTCAGGAGAATATTTCTCTGCTGATGATGAAGATGACGATGGTGATGATTCGGGCATTGCAGAAACAGCTGGAACGAAAGATACTGACGATGTCAGCGATGATGACCAACAACCTGAAGTGGGTGACAAAAATCAAAGCAATGAAGAAAATACAACGGATTCTCATGACGCTCCAGTCGTCTCTAAAACAGAGGTGGATCCTCTTGCAGAAGCGTTTTTTCATCCAACCGTCGGTCAACTGAAACAGACCCAATTAGTTGAGAAAGCCAACGGTGATGAAAATAAGAAAATCGTTGACGACATGATGGCTGTAATTCGATCGGCTAATGAGAAGCTCAAAGACCAAGTGGAAAAGGAAAGACGAAAAGTTGAATTGAGAACTCAACGAGAAGAGAAATCCACCTCAGAAGCAGAACAGCGACTGAAGCAGACGCTAGAACGCTTAGAACGATTGCAGCAACAGCTTGACAAACACAACAATCGAGAAAGAACAGCACAAGCACTAATGAGTCGAGTAAAAACCGTCGAGTACATTAACATTGAAGCCGATGTCGTTCACAACTTTTTATATATGACGTCAGCTAATATAACCGAACATCTTAGTGGAATCGAAGAGTTAGACGAATTGATCAAGGGAAAAATCCCGAAAGTGTTCATTCGAGAGCGAAACACCTCTTATCTCGTATCCGTAACTGGTCTACAAAGTCATCATGATGAATTCAAATTAGTTCTCAAACGAATCCGAACATTGGGCCATCTAACTCGATCAGCGAAAGACTATTATGAACGACAGTTACGCCGAGTTATCACTGATATTCATCGATCTTTGATAATCAAAGAAATCCCCTCGCTCTCAGATTGGATATGTTATAGGAAAATTTTACGAAAGTTGATGCAGACTGAAATGGAAACCTATGTGAAACATTTCGAGGATTATATTATCAAAGAAGCGAAAGACATCGTTCATCAGTGTATTGAAAATGCTCATTTTCAATCATGGGTTTCCATACACAAAAAGACCAATGACTACCTGAAGAAACATTCGTTTTCTGCTGAGATCGAAGGATTAAAACAAAAAGCATTGGATGAATTCTTCACCGAACAGGTAAACATTCGCCCATCACATTCTCAAAGGCCACTATCCAGTGCATCTGTTCGAGTCATGAACGAATACATTTACAAATTAAAGAACGAATTCAAAACAGACCGACGATTCATCGGTACCAGTGAGCAGCAGTTTCGGCACACTGCTTACCTCTTACAGCGGATTATGTTGTATTATCGTACCTGTCTTCTACAATTACCTTTATATGCATCATCGAAAGAACTATTAGCTAAAGTACAACACAATACGGTGATGACCATCACTACTTCCACTGGATCAGGAAAGTCGACTCTCTTACCAGCCTTGTTAATTGCTGAAGGTTATGATCGAGTTTTCGTTACGCAACCTCGTCGTTTACCTTGTACATCGATTTGCAATAGAGTCAATCAGACGATGACAAACAACAAAGATCAATTTCCATTAGCCGGCTGGTCTGTCAGTGGTGCCAAGGGCAATAAGGATGCACAAATCTTGTATTTAACTGATGGTCTCTTGAAAGAACGGTTGTTATTCAATCCAAACTTTATTATGAATGACGCCAAAGGTGATAATGGGATCATTCTTTTCGTTGATGAAGTGCATGAAAGATCGATTAATATTGATTTGTGTCTCGCCCTCATAGCCCGTCTTCTCATCGAACAACCAGCATTGAGATTGAAGCTGAAAGTGATTATCTCATCGGCCACACTCGATAAATCCCTACCTGATCTCTATCGTCAGATTCCACACTTAAAATTCGATCAATATCAAATGCCATTCAGCGACACTCTTCACAAAGTGGAGAAATTTTATCGGCCGAAAGAAAACGTTCTCGACGTAGTTCAAGAATTATGTCGCAAACGACAACGGCACGATCAGATCCTGTGCTTTGTCAGTAGTGTTACTGATGTTCATCAGTATTGTAGGTTGCTTAATAAGATAAGCCAAGGCATGGTTGTTGCTCATCCTCTTGTTCAGTCACAATCAGCTAGTGAACAACAACAATGTATTGAACATGGAACTATCTTTTTTTCTACGACGGTTGCAGAAACATCATTAACATTTCCATCCTTAAAATATGTTGTGGACACTGGCCTGATCAATGTGCCAACCTACGATCCCAAAGCGAAACAAACAACTTTGAGGGAAATATCTGCTTCAGAATCGACCATCAAACAACGTTTAGGTCGGCTCGGACGCACCAGACCAGGTGAATATCACGCTCTGTATGATTTGAATGCGGTTCGGCCAACCTACCCAGTGCCTTATATATGTCAGTCAAATTTGATCGATGTGGAATTTTCCTTACGTCGATCTTCACTGAAAAATGGATTATCTCATCTGCAAAAGTTCTTACCGGATCCACCTCGAACGGAATTAATTGATACCGCCGTAGACGAATTAAAAAGCATGAGTAAGTGACAAATTTGAAACTTGAAGAATTGACTCTTCCTCTTCTTTTTCTTAGAAATTCTTTCTTCATCCAACCAGTTGGGTGGAATTGGTCGTGCTATCGCTCAATTACCAGATTTCGGTACATTAGCTATGGCAAGAGCAGTTCTCTCAGCTTTGATAGAGAACAAATGTGGCCATGATCTTGTGGTTCTCTCGGCCATTTTAAGTGTTCTGAACACATCATTATGCTTGACCACAATACCGCTTGAAATGAAATCCACCGACGGCGATCTTATGACTCTTTTGGAGGTGATGAAGAAGTTATTATCGGAACGAGAAAGATTTGGAATCCGTAGTTTCCGACTGGATATATTCTGTCAAGGAAGAGGAAGACTTTCGATCATACAACATGTTCTGAGTCGAGCCCTTCGACGATATGATGCATTACAGAAATCATTCAAACAATTGCCCACTTATGCTAAGCAGGCACAAGTCTCCAGTGGCAATTGGGAATCGATTGCTAAGTCTTTATTGAAAGGATACGGCGACAATGTCTACGTATCACTGAAAGAACTGCATGGTCGAAACCACCGATTCGTTCGATATCATTCTAGCAAAGAAGAATATGCAGTTCTGGATCATCATTCAACTTTATCACGTTCGAAGAATTTACCTCCGATTCCCATTATTCTCGCACGGGATATTCTCTATTCATCATCGATCCGAGCCAATGCTGTCCTATCGTTTGTGGGTAGACTCGAATCATCCTGGCTTCAGATGCCGATTGAAAGAAAAGTGACAATCAATGCATTCGAAGAGTCTCAATTGAATAGTGGCAGCCTTTTGAGCAGTGTGGCGTCAGTGTATTCCAATGTTCAAATGCATGGCAATCCATATGCGCTCATTTTGAAAGGTCCATCTGGTTCCGTAATCGATGTCGAACGTGCTCTCATTAAAAAATTAGTTCAAACGCAAAATTTTTCTCTGACCAACAATGTTCCCACAACCAAACCTGATGATCATAAAAGAATGAGTCGAAATTTGAAGAGTGTGACCAAAATGACGAAAATATTCAATCCGATGATATGGCGCTGGGAAAATGAAGGACAAGTCAAGGTGACTATTACTTCGGGAGTTACCGCTGCAAACTGTGAAGTGAATGTTGAGGGACGAGATCCTCAATATCAGTCTGTAAAGAATGAAATCGAATCGTTCAAAAGTTGGTTGCAAGGCTCTGCTGTTATTCGTCATCCTGATTTAGGTGAGTGTTTGAAAGAGTAGTTCACGACTTTTATTTTTTTCTTCAGTTGTACCACCACGTATGCTCAAACAACCAATGCGTAAATCCTGCATGGATATTGAAGAAAGAATATCGCACATTACCGATTCGAAGTGGACGACGATCGATTTATGGAATGGATTGCGAGGCTCAAAAGCAACTCGAGAAACTCGTATGGCAGTGGTCGCTTGGATTGTTGTTTGTATGTTTGACTGTCATGTTGAGGGTGGCTTTGTTCGAGATTGGGTTGTCGGCCATTATCAGGCTCGACCAGCTGGACCTCCATCGACATGGGTTTCGCGTCGCACTAACCCAGCAGGAGCTACTATTCCTGAGATCAGCAAAGAAGTGGTTCCAACGGATCTGGATTGCCATCTATCGGTGCATAAATATTTTGATCTTGATAAGTTTCTCGACTGTTTGCACAAGTATCAGATCAAGTACAGTTACGTCCGAGAAGATTGGCGATACATCTTCCTATTGGATGAGGATGCCAAAACTGGACCATTTACGATGGATCTTATCGAACCACATGTCGCTCTCACACAGGATCGAATCGACTTCGATGTGAACAATCTCTCTTTGGAAAAGGATCATACCAAAGAACTAGGTATGAGGGTCGATACGCGACCAAAACCGTATTCAATCGACCTCGAAGCAATTGTTGATAATATCAAACATAAACGTTTTCAATTGTTGCGCCCAAATGATCCTACCATGAACCAACGGATTCAGAAAATGGTGTCTCGTGGTTGGACGAAAACAGGAGAAGACCTCAACTTTATTCCGCACCCACCACCCAGATGTGAAGTGATCGTCGTTCCAGTGCCTGAAATTGCTGATATCTACCGATCAGTAGTACAACAGCTGCAAAGCAACATCGGCAGCCAAGTCAAGATTTTATCCATTGTTCAGATTAAAAACCCATCATTAGAAGAGGCATATCTAGCAATAAAGCAACTCATTGCTAAAGATTGTCAGGGAGGAAATTCGAACGAACGACCCTTGTTTCATGGTACGTCGGGCACATCTATTGATGGAATATTAAATAATGGATTCGATGACCGTTATTGGCGTGCGGGAAAATGGGGCAAGTGTCGTGACAAGAGGTTCAGTATTGATGATTTTCTTTGCTGTTTTTAGGTCATGGGGCTTATTTTGCTGAGAATCCATTAGTATCGCACGGCTTCGCACACCAAGATTCAAGTGATCAAACGCGCGTGATGTTCTACAACAAAGTCACCTTGGGTAAACAACAGATACTTCGAGATACCAATATGACTCTACAAGCAGCACCGATAGGATTCCACTCCGTACATGGAATACCATCCGGCAGTTCCAATGAGGATGAATTCATTGTGTATCGTTATGCACAAGCATTACCTTATCTTAAAATCACCTATAGAGGATAGATGGCTGGTTCTTCGAATACTCACCGCTGTGTTTTTTTTAAATTCCTTCTTTCTTCTTTCTTTTTCAATAAATATCACAAAGCCACAACTTGGAAATGAATAAAACAATGCTCTTCATTTATCTTCTACATTAGAGCTGTGTAGTTATTGTATATAGTCACCTTGACACCCAAAGATCGAAACTAAAGGGTGTGAGTGTGGGTCTTGTTCTTCTATCCATCCATACTCACACCCATACCCACCCACACCCACACCCACACCCTTTTCTTCTAGTTCCCTTTGCTACTACATTCGTTTAGTCAGTGTATGATTCGTTAACAATCAATTAGAGTATGAAAAAAAAACAAAAAAAGATGGGTATACATCCTTGCAGGATCGAGAACATCAACACGCATATCTGTATGCACATTTCTGTCAGTTGAATGTTACTAGAAAAGATTCGAAGACAGAGTAGCTTTAATAAAGAACATAATGTACACATATGCATCTCAGAAACAGAAAATGAATGTACACAAATTCACGAAAAACTTACATCAACATCAGAAGAATACGAAAGTAAACGATAGCAACGACAAAAAGTAGTCATAGTCGAAGTGAATTGATTGTATTATACAGCAGAATATCGAGGCGGTGGTTCTATAATATTTCGGACAATAGCGATTCGTGCACTAAAATGTTCCTCGGCCAATTGTTTCACATTTTTGCTCGTCTGCTCACGATCAGCTTCACATTTATCTAACTTTTGTCGAATTTCTAATAATATACGCGCCAAAACTGTGTCTGCTCGAGAGATGCGATCCGATGCTTCGCGAATCTTTTTTCGCATATTCAAATCAGTCCAAATATTGTCAAATAACATATTAAAAATAAGGTTATCTTGCTCGATATGTAGATCACCGACATATGCCATATGTGGATACAAACAACTAGCTTCGTTGATGAACTGTTGTGCTTGAGTTGCGGCATTTCTAGCTTTAGCCAAGTCGGAACTCACGAATATGTCGACAATTCCAGAATTAGTGAACAAATCGATAGTGTTCATGTCCAGTGCGTCATTGAGTGCTCGTCGAGCGACAATGACAGCTCGATGAGCTTTTCGCAGTAGATGAAAGATGTGCGTTAAATTGCGGTGATTGTTCTGTAGGGTGATGAGACACTCTTTTTCTCTTTTCAAGTTTTGTTCCATTGTATCTTCATCCGGATATGAAGGTGTAACACCAGCAAAGAAACGTTCAAAGAGTTCATCTAGTGCTCGCTTGGTCTTTACATACTCTTCGTAGGCGATTTTACATCGATGTAAATGGTTCTGAGTAGAATTGATTTGTTCTTGCACAGCAGCTAAGCGTTGTTCTTCTTCTTTACACTTTTCAAACTCGCACAACCATTTCTTTTCTTGTTCATCTAAGCGTTGTTTGAGTTGACCTCGAAGCTTGTACCAAATATGTTTGACGCCATGCCCTTGAATGCCGACTAAACGTTTGTGCTCCTTGTCGGCTGCTGCATTGAACGTATCAATCTTCTCTTGTATAAGAAGAGCTCGATTTTGGCAAGATATTAAGTATGACCGGGCTTCTGATTGTGCAGCTTCGCTCGATTGTGTATCAGATAAACGATCGAAAAGAGCTTGAAATTGTTCGCTTTCATTTTGGATCTGTTGCTGAAGTGACATGGCGTGATTTTATGACTGTGAAGATGTGCGATGAATATGACGAGTTATGCTAATAAGCGTGCGTTCAAAATTTTTATATTCGTTGTGCCATTCATACACTTATACAAGTACACAATAATCTTCTCTCGCTCATTTTCTCGTCTGTTCAATGTTTCTTTCTTCCCTCATTGCTCTTTCACACATCGATATATATTGTGTTCGACGTCTGCTGTCTCTTTCTGGGTCAAAGTTCACGGCTTAGAGACCGTTCGGACAGGGTGCCACCCGTTAGAAGGAAGAAAAAGGTCAGCAAAAAGTGACAAAAGGTCACATAGCAAAGAGAAAGAATTAGCCAAAGAGTATGATGCCAGTTTTCTACTATTTTATATTTCATTAGTATCTATTGGTTTTCTTTACTATCCATGCATTCAAGATGGGCCCATTCTTTTTTAAAATATGGTTTGTAAACATAACTCATAATAAAAGAAAAAAAGAAGTTTTATAATGGCTAATTTCGTTCAAATATTATTTATGAGAAGTTGATTCATTTTAATCATTGAAATTTATTAACAAACAGATAAATAAATCAAATCTAGTTCTTTTCTTATTTAAACTAAAAGCTAGATTCAATTATAAATCTGTAAACTATTAACTACTTTGTATCAGTATACATATTATAAATATGTATCATTAAGAAAGTGTTATTGTATCCTCATTTTCATTGTTAGTTTTAACGATAATATGAATACAATATCAGTTGAAATCACTAATGAATCATGGTCAAATGAAGAATGGTTTATGCCATATTTTATTCTTTTTACTAATTATGGGAACTATTGGAAATAGTTTTGGTTTACTTTTATTTCTAAATCTTCAACACATAAATACGTATTCATGTTCATTATATTTTTTACTTATGGCAATATTCGATGAATTATCATTATTTTTATGAATAACAAATCATTTATTTGATGAATTAACTAACAGTCAATTTCGTAATCATTCAACACTTATGTAAATTATTCGTTGTGATTTATTATAGGCCTATTCCATGGGGTTTCTCCCATGAAAACACATGTGTTCTTGAAATTGACTGAATATCCCCTTATCTTGTAGAACTTGTTAAGTAATGTTTATGGCAAAAATTTCAGATTGGACAAATGTTCCTTCAAAGAGATATGAGAGTCTCAAGTTTTGCTGGAAAATCGAAAAATTATCAAATTTTATGGTCTTGACTTTTCAGCTTTACGTGGACAAAAATTAATTCTGATTACATATTCTTGTTCCCCAAAGTGTGGCGCATTTTTCCATATTTGAATTGTTACTTTTCGTTATTGTAATATAAAGGGTGTCCCGGAAGTTCTGAAACGATTTTAAAATTCATCGTTCTCAAATTCAACAAACGCAAACTCTTTGAAACTTTGACATATTATTGCACATATGTAGTGCCACATAACTACAAAGTTTGAGGTCTATAGGTTCTACTATAGAGGAGAACCTGTAACAATACTATGATGTACTATTTCTAAAATTTTCCTGTATTCCGGGTCTGCCAAAATANCTGGTTCTATTATATTATTTTTGGCATAATTTTGGCAAAAATTTTTTTTTTTTGAAAAAAGCCCGTGTACCCCCCCCCCCCCCCCTCAGGGATAGTCTGGTCAATAATAACAATTTTTTCGATAACTCAGCCATTTCTTGACGGATCCTTCTCATCTTCGAACTCAACCGAGACATTGATAAGCCTGAGCTGGGTAGAAAATTTCATCATGATCTGACGCTCCTTTCGGAAGTTATCGTGTAAATGGACGGCCGGACACACTGACCGATTCTAGAGTGTACTCACTTTTTTGATTACACAAAAAGTACGTTAATAGAAAACATATACTAAATGCTAAAATAAAGGGGGATCATAAAGTTTTTATCAAACTATGTTATGTTGTAGAGAAAGAAAAATGCTATTATCTGACAGAAAAATACAGTTTGAAATACATATATTTATTTTAAAGTTATGATCATTTTACTAATTTAGAGTAAAAAATTTTTACGTTGCGTTTTTTGCAAAAAATAAAACTGTTCTTGTAACACCTGAGCTGGAATAGTTTTCTATGTATTCATTTTATATAATTGAATAAATTTGATCAAGCTCTACAAGAATATGAATACCAATAAGTTTCGTGATCCTGTTTCTCATACAAAACTTGGAGACAAGCAGAAGGACTAGTAAAAATGTGATTTATCATGTATTAAAGAAAGAATGCTGAATTTCCAATACTCTTAGTCAATCGATTAGTTAGTCTGTTTCTGGAAATCAGAAAAGGTATTTTCATCTACATTACATGACAAAGAATCTGAAAACATAAAATAATAGATAGAACAATCGATATACTAAACTTATTCATAGTTACCTATACTCTGAAATATATGATTTTTCAGATTTTTATTAGTCTCTCTCATTTCTTTCAGGTTTTGTATTCAAAAGAGGATCAAAATTTTCTTTTGGATGTCTATATTTCAGTAGAGCTTGTCGAACTCTATCTATTCATACAAAAATATCTTCTATCTCTCAATCAACTCTGATTATTCAAATATTGCAAGAATATTTTTCTTTGCGAAAAACCGCAACGTAAAAATTTTTTACTCTAAATTAGTAAAATGATCATAACTTTAAAATAAATATATGTATTTCAAACTGTTTTTTTTTCTGTCAGATAATAGCTTTTCTCTTTCTCTACAACATAACATAATTTGATCAATATACTTTCATATGAGTTTCATATAAATATTCTTGATTTATTAACAAAGGGTGACAACTTTGTGAACATCTTTTAATTTTGTCAGATATATTTTGTTACAATTAACAATGTTTAAATTTGAACATAGTCTCTCTTATTATGCCAAAAGTAGACTTTCTTACTGATGAGATCATTCAAGTACCATGAATTTTAATCAATAGTTTAGATGAGAGAGCTCTTAAAAAATCCAACGCTTTACATAATATTCTCAATTAGAGTAACTTGTCTACAGTATATGATCAAGATATGTGTTTATAAGAACTTATATATTAGTGATATGATTTTCAATAGTTCTGGAATTTTCATTTTGATAATTTAAACTAGTTGACGACATTATGTAAACAAAGTTTCAGCTCAAAATTCAAAAAGATAATTTTGTTGAAACTTCAGTATCCAGCAAGGAATTCTTAAGTCATAATTCGATTTCTTCACGAAATTAAAACATGGGCTCATATTCACTTATGCTTAGATCTTTCTTGATAAGAATGCAAAATCATACGAACTTAGTATCCATAATAAAAATGTTGATCTTCTACACTTATCCACCTGGATCATGGCCTAGGCTTAGAATCGGTAAGAAAAGGATGAAACGGTTCAATCCGAACGTTTGGAAAATCCAACCGGTCCTGTCTGACTAGATAAAATTCACCTCTGTATCAGTGAGTTTTCGACAAAACTGGCTAGTTTCTAGTTGAGCTCATTGCTTTAAGATCGTTCCAAATATCCAAAAATACAGTAGAAATCGATAAAGCCAGTTCCAGTCATAGAATAAATTATCTAATATTCATGGGCGGCACGAAGAAGTCATAGCAGGAGTGAATATCCAAAAATCAGAACAAGTATTTCAGCAATCTCTATATTAAAAGAAAATCTAAGTCGAAACTCTCAAAGCATGATAAGTACCCTCCTTCTTCCACCACACTCGTGCAGCTCCTGCTAATATGGAAATAACATGACTGAAACAATATGATTTAGTTCCACGTATTATAAGTGCAGAAAACTGAAATTGACTGAAGTAGTTTTTTTTTTCAGAAAGATATTTGAGAAAATTGCGATTCTTCTTCGGAATAAGCACATTCTTATATCATAACGTCATATATATGTCCATGAATATGGATAGCAATCATTTTTCTCTTCTTTTTTGTTTGTTAGGGATATGCACATTCGGAAGAAAATACCAAAATTACTACATTTGTAATTGAGAAAATATGATTAGATTTTTTATGAAATTTTTGGAAAAACTATGCAAAATCTTTACAACCATGATACATCACCATTTTCTCAACAGGATATTGAGACTCTTCTAATTGATTTGCATAACACTGTCTATTTCTTTCAGAAAGTAAAACTTGAAAGACACAAAAAAATCTAAAAATAGTTTTAATGTTGATATGTATATGTTCAAATTTTATTGTCAAATTGTCTTTTCGTAACCATGTATAAAGAAAAGTAACATAAGTACAAGTGTTAGTTACACTTTCATGAAATAATCACTAATGCAAAAATAATTGTTGAGTTCAACTTTAGCAATAAATTAGTTAATAATATTTGTTGAGTTTTCTTCCCCTTGACAAAAAACGTAACTGAATATTTTCATATTTACCATAATATTGCAAATATCGCGATAAATATTCATTATAGACACAACAAAATTTTAAATATTTGGCATTATCAGAATACTTTCTATATACATATATACATTAATCATGTAAAAAAAAAACAATCTGAAAATCTGATTTAAATTGATCTTTTAGAAAATAATCGGTAAAAATAGATTAAAAGCAGTAATTTCGATTAAATATGTCTAAAAAATCAATTATAATCGATTTGATATAGCCAAGAATTGTTTAAAATCTATCATTATTAAAAATTCCAGAATAATTGAGTTCTTTTTTTTGAAAACCCGAAATAATGATTTATTGTGAAACAGAATATGAAAGGATCGTTGATCTATATAAGATAGAAATTTCGAGGGTGATCCTTGTCACCCAGGGTTGCCAACTGTACCCCATTTCGACCTTTTGTACCCCACGAAAATGTGTACCTCTGGGATACGCCTATTTGTACCCCATTTGCACTTTTTCATTGGTACTATGTAAATCATCTTTTCATCAGAATAAAAAAAGAGCGCAGACTAATGGATTTACATCCAATTGGTAATTTTTATTATTTTCGGTGAGTATGGGTGATTGTTACCCACTAAAAAGTCACCGAAAATTGCAAAAATCAGTTGGTACTGAGTAATCTATTACTCTTGTGTTTGCTAACTTTAATGAGGCGCTTCTCTTGACCCCTCCGGATGAGTCCACAAATCTAACCCTATCCATAAAATGATGAGGTTCATATCAGGAGCAACTCCATATGATTTAAAACGTGTCTATGTAATTTAATTTTTTCTGATTTTGACTTAGCTAGCAAGAATTTCCTACGATGAACGTCAATTCTAGCCACATATTCATTTTAAGACCTGTCACCGTTCGTTATGCTTTTATTACACTTTAAACCAGACACTTCTTTTTTTTAGTTTTCAAAGTAGAAGTAGGCGTATCTTGTTTTGGTTTACGAGAAGCATGTTGATAGTTGATAATCAATACAAAAGGAAGAAATACAGAATCTCATGGCCCCGCTTCAATCAAGCTTTTATTTCACTCGAGAGAGATGATCTCAGAGTAATAGCTCAATTTTCCACAGATCTTATAGTAAAAAAAAAATAAACATTATGAAAAACTGTCCTTTGATTTCGTCTACAAATTGCACTAGTTTGAACCTGAAAAAAGTGAAACATAATGATGATCCATCCACTGACATAATAAAGAAATGCCAGTCGAAAATAACTTGTACAATGAATATCAAGCTTTTGTTTTAAGTGAAGATTTTTATTTCTTGAATAGAAATGTGACGAAGATAGTTATAATTGAGAAAACACGTGCACAAGTTCCGATCTCAAAATTCCTGAAAATAGAATTGAGCTGTATCGCAACTGGTGCCAGTGTGACCTCGTGATGGAACTGTGGAAGAGTACAGTCTCCCAGGGTTTTAAGAAAAATCAAATTTTAGCAACATAAAATTGATGTTTTGGTGCTTTCTATGCAGAACTGCGTAATAATTCAAAAGAAGTTCAACTGACTGAGCGAACTCCCCGCTGTTTTTGCTTTCTGAAGGTCTCATGCTCTAAGGTCCTCTAAGATTTGACTTTTCGGGCAGCTAATGATTGGTGCATCCCTAATTGAGAATTTATTTGCTGAAACATAAATATTCCAGATAGTTATCTTGCATACAGCACGTGGTATATGACCGTCTTTACTAAAAATACTGTTGTCCGCTGATTTTTTATGAGAACTTCTTTTGTTTTAAACAACAACATTTTGTATCCCATCTTTGTACCTCATTTGGAAAAAGTTGTACCCGACATGTACCCCATTTCAAACTTTTTGTACCCCATTCGAGACCTGAACAGTTGGCAACCCTGTTGTCACCTCCCTCCCTCCACGCCGAAAGCATGGGAAATAAGGTTTGTATCCAGTACGAACCGTGTAAAATAGGCTTAAGATTCAATGCAGGTTGTGAGATCCGTCTTCAAAAAAACTCTCAGAAAGCATATATAAGTAATATTTTACTGTAATATTTCTTGAGTATTGCTTTTTGAAATTCTTTGGTCCAAGAAGAATCACAAGGAAAAATGTCCTAATATGTATGAAAATGTCAGTTTGCACGAAGTCAATGAGAATTGATTTGGATGTTTTACATTTTAACTCTATATCGATTACTCAAATTGCTTTTTCGAGGACACAAACTTTCGATTAATACTGCAATCAATTTTAATCAATTAATCTCTCGATTTAATTGATTTTGATCGATTACTTATGTAATTGCGCAATCTCAATTGATTCGATTTCTGTAGGCGTTCCAATTTTAGTATGCATATCACGTACTAGCTTGGCAACAGCCTAAAGGTTTCTTGTCATGGAGACTCTAGAAAAAACATGGGAAAACTAAGGTTTCGTGTTCGAATCTTGGTAAAAGCGCCTTTTTTCGAAGCAAATGATTAAAATCGATTATCTAGTAATTAATGATTAAAATCAGACAACAGGTAAAAATGTATTCAAATCGGAAAGCAGATAAGCGTGATTAAAATCAAATAACAAGTAACGTTCGATTAAAATTGGAAAACAGGTTAAGATAGATTAAAATGCATTAAGAAGCAATAATAGAGGAAAATTGACTGAAAAGCAATCATGTAAGGAACTGACAGCAACTAGAGTCTAATTGATTTTGATAAAATTTTTACATATAATCGGTTTTTTTTCTAATTTTTTTACATGGATAGTGGAGTATTCATTCTACTTGAGAGTAAAATACATATTTGCTTTTTGAAAATGAGATAGAGGTAAGCATAAGATTTGTCGAATTTGAACTGGCATATATCCAGTATTTACTAGTCCGGTTGATTTTCTAAGCCAATCCGGCTGGGTCGATTCCAGCACTGATCATGCCTATTTTTGGTTGCGTGAAACACTAAGCCTAACGTCAATAAAAATATTGCGATTTTTTTCAATGAGTATATCACCAATCTATTTCGTCTTTTATCTGAAGATTTTTTTACAAGACTCTGTTGTAGAATAAAGATTTTTTCTCAATAGTTTACCGATGCGAATATGAAAAATATTTAATAAATTTATATATCGTACACAATGATATAAAACATTGATTGTATGCTATTGTGCACAAAACTCGCTTGGTTATATAGAAAAATTGAATGATGTGAACACAGTTAACTAATGGAAACACAAACTGAAAATATTTGAAGAGTTTATTTCTCCTAGATTATTAATCGGGTGGAATAAGGTGTGATGTAACTCGTTCAATACATTTCTCGACATGAGCAACATCCTCTGGATCTGCATTTGGTAATTCAGTTTGATAGATTTCAGCCGCTTTGATATACTTTTGTAAAGCTTCTTCCCATTGATTCATCTCTTCGAGTACTTGACCGACGTCAGATAATATTTTAATATGGAGCTGAGGAGCTAAATAAATATTTTCGTCTAATACCGACATGTAATATTCTAGAGATTTCTGATTCATACCTAAGTGATGATAGCAATAACCCAAGGCTTCATAGCATTTCAATTTGTGCAATGGATCGAATTCGGTATCGTCCGNGGAATTAGAGATTGATGTTGAAAGTAGGTAGTATCGATCATGCTGGACAAATCGAGGTGCCTCAACTAGTGTCAAGAAAAAGCATTGAATATTTCGTTGCTCCATAAATCATAGAGACTTTGAAAGTTGGGCTTGTTATTTCGTCGTGGTTCTGAAAATCACGATAGACGGTGACCTCAGCAGTGCTCGGGCTTAGCTCGCCTTCGCTGTCTAAGGATTGTATGGTGTGTTACCCTTCGTCGTCGTGGGATCCGGAGATCAGGTACGCGATTTAATAAAAAATAGGATATAGAGTCATCCCTTCATACACATTCTGGTTTAAGAATCATTCAATATACCGGTTTATAATTGGAGATAGATTAGAACAGTGCTAGCGTAATTTGCGCTCTTGATCTTGAGTGAAGATAATTTTCCTGAAATAAAAACTCATTTTGATCCTTATACAAATTTAAACTGAGAATGAATGGGCTCGAATTTTAAGTAGCCGATCGAACTGGTATTTTCTTTCACAAATGGAATCCAATAAAACCGTAAGCCCCTAAAAATGGTTTATGGTCATGTCCCTTTCTTCTTGACTTATGACTATTTTACTAGCTTGCCTTTGCTTACACCAAGATTTTTTATGGAAAAGGGTACCCATGGATGCATATAGGCTATTGGAAGGTGCGAATGGGACTTGATGTGGGTTTGAATGTTCTCTTCTCTTTAACCTGTATCCACACATACAGCTACCGTCACCAGTAGCGTACCCAAGCACTTTTAAGTCATGAGCCATTTCCCAGCTAAATTAATTTGAAAAGTGGATAGCGTTAGGCAATTAAAAATCAAATGGGCTACGATTTTCTTTTAAACTTATTGCCATCACAAAATCTTTCATTTATTGAAGAGAAGGTGGTTACTGTGAACTAAAAGGTGAACTCATTCGCTTCTTGTGTACTGTTTCTCAAATAAACTCTTCAATTTTCAAATATTTGAATATATTATGTCAAAAAGCATGAATAAACACAAATAGATGCGTTAGCAAATTTTCGTGAAATAATCATTATTTTAACAGCAAAATACCGTTGAATTGCCATCATTGTGAGCATCAGTGCAATGGTACAAAGTAGTCACTTGATGTCTTTGGATCACTTGGTTAGATCACAAAAAAATACAATGCATTAAAAGGACACCACTTAGATCTTTGTACATGTATGTGTATCAAAATTTTTCGACATTGAACAATTTGTATCATTTCAAAAACCTCATGGGCAATTGCTTCTGAATTTGTGGGCAATCGTCCACTGGCTGCACCTCTGACTATGCCACTGGCAGCCAGTCTCACACCCAATCTCCATAAACACACTCATCCTCAGCTACAGTTGTAACCTTAAGTTTAGACCATCATATTTTGTAACTATGTGCTGTCATCGCGTCAGTATTTTTCGGCCTGAAGTTTTAACTAATCAGGTAACATGAGTAATTGACTCTTCTTCAGGCAGGTTTCTTCGTCTTGGAAGTTCAATCAATCCGATGCTTTTGCTGCCCGACTCGCATTAAAAGCAGGCCTTTTCTAATGAAACTTCAGCTGATCAGATGCTTCAGCATTTAGTTGAAGTCGAACCCAACGACTATTGAAGTTTTTTCACAGAAGTGAAGGAAAAACTAGAAAGGCAGAAAGGTGTGAATGTTGTTATGATCACGGGTACAGAGAATATTTTCACTCACAACCCATCCTACTTTTTTTTAAATATTGATTAAAATAAAATATAAATGTCCAGTAAACGCTAATGAGGAAAAGACTTCAGATATTGCAAACTTTTTTTCCTTCCTTGCAATTGTTTGCTAATGAAACTAAACGTAAAGACAATCGGATGATTATTTTGATATTTGAATTCAACAAAAATTTTTATCAGAGGCCGAATCGAACCGAGTTCTACTGGTTCGAGTTCGGTTCGTTTCGTTTCCAGTCTCTTGGATGGAAAACAATCGACGAAACCACGTTTGATTGCTACCCAGAGCATCACAGTTTCACATAAACGATGATACATCAATCAATCATTTTTCTTATACATTTGTCTATATTTACTCGCTTTTCGAAAATTAGTTCCGATTCAGTTCGAATTCGTTTTTGGTCTCTGGTGTTTCTTCTTAAGAAAGTTAAGTCTATTTCTGAGAACCATCTGATTTCGCAGATTAAAATCAACTAGTCGCATTCTGTGGATAGAATACGATGAAATTCGACATTATTAAAGTATATCAGTGTGTTTTTTATAATTATCAAGCAACATTTGAAACATATTTTGTCACATAGCGAAGCCGTTTTTTCCTAAGATCAATGAAACACATCTAATCTGACAAAATAAAAAGAAAATTGAACTTCGCTCAAATAGATCAGCACATAATTAGAATAATATGGCTATATCAACATTATTTCGAACCAGTCGAGTTAGATGAAAATTATTTAATGCCAAAAAATGCGTTCATTTTGCTCAATGATAAATTGAGTTTTGAATGTCAGTTGTTTTTACCTTAAGATATTATCATTCATTTTATATACTTGATTTACATTTATTACATAAATATGTTAGTGTAAATGGAGTGTTGAGTGTATGGTTGTAGGTCTTCTTTTCATCTCACACCCATAATATCAAGCATGTGTACTTTAGTTTTCATATGGTAATCGTACAAAATATCCTTAGAATGCTCATATTTATTTTCTGATCACTGGTTTTCAATTTACCATGTAGGAAACTTTTGTTAACTATTTTATGAAATATTTATTTTTCCAGTTAATTTATCAATGGAAATGACTTCACATTCGAATAATTTTGTCCGTAGTTTTCGATTTTGTTCCAATTCTATGACATCAAAAAACGATTGATCAAAAGAATTTTTTCGTTGTATATTACAACCGATTTTGATTAGATATTGGATAAAACGATGTCGACAACCAAGAACTTTTAAACATAAATATAACAAGAAATCATTTCCATCTTCATCCAATTCATTTAAAACTGTTATCGACAATCTGATAATTTTTTTCAATATTTGAAATTGTTTTTTATTCAATAATTGAAATAGAAATTCTCTCCTTGTAAAACATACATTCAACGGTTTTTCATCAAGCAATTGATTCAGTAGTTGTTTTCTCTTATAATGTCCAAGCATAATATTAATATTTTTCTCAATATAATCTGTCTCTTGGAGAAAATATCGTAAAAATTGATTATGTCGATACATCATTCGAACAATATTCATACAATCATTTTTTATTAAATGATTTAGAGCTCGTGTAAATGAATCATTTGTATTTTCATTCCATGGAATAGCCATGTGCACATTAGATTGATCAAGTAAAATTTTTAATAGTTCTATTTCTGTTGTTCGAAAAATTATATCACTAGTGCTATTCATTGACTCTTTATTCAATTTAATTATATTTAATATTTCGAAAAAATAACTTTCCGACCATGATCCATCATTTACAATAGTTCGTATTGATAATAAAACCAGCTCAACAAGCGATTGATAATAATACAAATTGGTCGTACACAGTTGATTACTGTAGATAAAACGTCTTTGAAAAATAGTGAAAAGTAAACAATGAACAACATTGAAACCATAACCGAGATAATAGAAAATTTTCAAAAGATTCGGATTTGAAATAATAAATCCTTTGAATATAGATATAAGATGATAGAATTTTTTTCGAGAATGATATAAAGTAGATTTATAGTAGATAAGCATTTGACAATTAATAGCTCTGACCAAATCAAATGAACGCATTTGATCTTCATTACATTCGAGATGTGCACCACGTATGTAAAGAAGTGTATGTATTTGTTGAATGGTATTTGATGTGTGTTCTAATTTATTAAATGCTATCTTTAATTCGTTGTCAACATTTTGAATTTCACTATTACTTAATTGTTTACGTATGGATTGAAAATTATCTCGATTTAGTTGAAATTCTTTATCTAATCGAGTATATTGATTCTTTATATGAAAACAGACTAATGATTCTAGACATTGAACAATTTCATTATTATTCGTAGTTCCATTTAGCAACATGAGTGTTTGTGTGACTTGTTGAACTTCTAATGAATTATAATAAGAATATATTATTTCAGGATCAACATTTATGCATAAAAAATTTATTAATAAATGTAATCGTTTGTCGAGAAGAATATTGTTTATACGTTGGTTCAAACCGAGAAATGTTCGAAATATTGAATAGATATTATCCAAATAACTGAAAATGATCATCAAAATTTCATCCGATAACTTTTCAAATGTTGACTGCATTTTAAACGTGAATCAAATATTACCTGTCTTTCAATTCACGTCTACTGGCATAGTTTCATAATTCATGATTCATTCTATTAACAAGTTTGACGATCACCTTGTTTTCACTTGCCAGTTCTGTGCGCACAGAATAAAAACCTCGAATAGATGTCACAGAGTGCGTGGATGTAGCTGTAGGTCTTTCTTTCATCCACATACAAGGCTCCATAAAATTTTAAAACGTCTATTTTAATTTTTTTTATATCGATTGATTGCTAGTTAAAAATAAACACTAAGCTGATTGCTATTCTACGATCTCGTTCATATTCCAAAAAATCGTTCACATACGGGCTAATCTAAACGAGTTGGCCCTACAATTTAGTCTAAACGATACAGATTGTTGACAGATTATAAACTACACTGGAATAGAGTTAATAGTACTTCCTTAAAAAACAGACTAGTCATGATCAACACAGATGACGCTACAAACTAGCTCGCATCACCTTTGAGAACATTTCATAGTAGCCTAGCCAATTTCTTCGGTTAGTTCATAGTTAGTCAACAAAGTGTCCGGCATGTGTCGAACATTGTTGGCTTGAATGTTTAAATGCACATTTTCTTTTCTTTCTTTTTCGCTTTTTTGTTCTGTTGATCATTCTAGACATAACGGGGTGACAACACGTGCTTGACTAGTCTAGACGTAGTCACAGCATATTTCCTTCAAAGTGGCCATTCCAGGCGATCATGCAAGACATGTCATATAATGGATAACGAATAGTGTGGATACTTAAGAATATTATGTCGAACGTCTTTACTAATTTGTTACGTACTTGGGTGTAGTACATTTCCCTAATTCTGCCGGAAATATTTTAGCATTTTTTGTTTCAACTAGTGTGCGACTATTTTACATCCGATCAAAAATATTTTTATACTTAGGTAATCTCCAGATTCTCTTCTTTCAAACGATATATTGTTCATCTTTCAGTTTTCATGTTTTCATAATGAAATTATCGGTCTATGAAAAATACTTTCACCTGACAGAATTAGGTAGTAGTTTCCTAATTCTGACGGTAAGTAACTTTTGTTTTTGTCCTACATTATGACAGTCAACTCTTCCTGGGGCAATACATCATTACAAAACTAGTATAGATCTATACTAATGTTGCAATGTTGTATTGCCACAGGAATAGTTGACTCTTATAATCTAGGACAAAAACAAAAGTTACCGTCGTAATTAGGGACAAAAAATAGCTGGACGTCAGAATTAGGGACAACTTTTTTCCGCTATTCTTAAGTGTCTTCATTCCAAAGTCTGTATCTTGGTAAATGAAACTGCAGTTGACTTGAACCTTTAGACTACGATAGAGCTTGATACGCTCTACAAAAATGTTTCAGACCTCTCCCCTCCAATTTTCATCAAAAAAATGAAAAAAAACTTTTTTTTCCCTAAAATTGAGTTGTTCTATGTAATTTGTTAGAGGTGTCATAATGAGGAATATTTTTTTTTGCTGACAGTCAGGATTAGGGAACAACTACCTAATTCTGTCAGGTAAAAGTATTTTTCATAGACCGATAATTTCACTATGAAAACATGAAAACTGAAAGACGAACAATATATCGTTTGAAAGAGGAGAATCCGGAGATTACCTAAGTATAAAAATATTTTTGATCGGATGTAAAATAGTCGCACACTAGTTGAAACAAAAAATGCTGAAATATTTCCGACAGAATTAGGGAAATGTACTGTATATACTTTTCGTTATTGTGAGAAAATCCACACTTCAGCGTATCCCAATATAAAGAATAGTACTGTAAGTGAAGATGTGAACTTCATATCACAACAAGAAAGCCATACAAACCTGAATTATTTTAGGAGTTTTCTAGTCTCAATGAGACCTACATATAGGCAAAATATCATGTCTAAAGCTGAGCTTCATCTGAAGCTGTTCCCTCGTAAGATCAATAGAATATGTATTATGAACTCACTTACTCTCAACGACATATCCTTTGATAAGACGCTTATTCAAGTTCTAAACATGTCATGGTTTGTTTGACTCTCAAAACCTCGATGAATATTCTCATGAGTTTTTATAAAGTTGCCCTGAAAAATTCTAATATTCATCGTGTAGTGTTTCGAAAGTAGACGACGAGATATATTGTGGTGTCATTGCATCTAGTGCTCATAGAATTATTTCCTATGTAATTTTTTGTACATATTATTGCATACAGCGTGAGTCATTATTGAACCAACTTATCTACCGTCTTTCTATTATTTACATTGAAAGAAAATTCAATGTACAGAACAGAAGAGAAAAACATTAGATAAACGAATTAATCATGACACAGATATGGTGCAATAAGATTTGCAAGAAATGATCTAGTAAATACTTCTTCGACATTCAGAAACAAAACCATCTACCTGCGAAACACTGTCCGATTAAATTATAACGATAATTTTGCGATACTCGAGCAATTCTTCTACTACATTTCGAACAGTTTTTGGTTTAAATCAGCGTCTAAATAGCATCATTGCCGATAGAAGTTTGTATCGATTTAGCGATTTTTTATACATGAATGTCGATGATGGAGATGCCAATTACTATTACAATATTGACTCGTTCGAGAATATATCACAACAATTCTCATCCCTGAAAACAACAGAAAAGGACAATCGATTTCATCAATGTCTAGGGGGGATTGGCGGAGTGGCAATATGTTCGTTTCTCGAGAATCGGTATCATGTTCGAGCCTTCCCCCCTACGGCACCAAGTTTTAAATAATTCTGTTCTGCTCTACACGTCTCAAAACTACTTGTTCGTCGATGGTCTATGCATTCTGCTCGCATACCAANTGAACAAGAAATCATTTGGGATAAAATGATTTTGCCGGGATCCCGTCACTTTTTGCGAGATAGGCGAGATCCGGCGGCTTCCCGCACAGAAAAGTTAATCCCGCGGGATCCCGGCGAGATTCATAAAAAATGAGCGACATGGGTAGTAAAAACGACTCACGATTAGTTATTAATATGTATGCAAGCATGGTCATCCTCTTAAGTAGCAGACAAATTGATGTTTTACTCAATTCTGGTCTCGACGAACAGTTATCGGTAGACGAAATTATTCAGAAGTTAAGTCAATTTTTTTTCAATTCAATATTGAATCATCTTACCCATCGATTTTTTGCTTTAAAATTTTTTCCTCGAGTCAATCCAATTCTACAACAATGGAGTAATAATGATCGAACAATGTTGAATAAAAATGATTCAACAACACTACGTCATACAAGCAATTTAATATTGCAAATGTCGGACTCGATGAACAATCAACTTGAGAATAATAAAGCTTTGCTTGATACAATTAAAATATGCTTGAATAATATTTTATCATTTGGTTACTACATTATGAAATCGAACCAAGAAGAAGACTTCAATCTAGCTTCATTCGATTGCCTAGTAGAAGCTTATGGAAATATCAAGTGAGTCAAAATTGAATATCTGTATTTTTTTCATTGAGTTATTCAATGTAGATGTAGAGCTCTTGTTGAGGCAATATCACGTTGTGCCACATCAAGATTTTTCGAAGATGCTCTTTTTGGTATACGTGATCTTCCACTGAATAATACAGAACATTTTCTACTCGTCATATGTCTTGATTATGTTCTCAAATGCGATGAAGAAAATGGAAAGCATGCTCACTTCATATTTGATTAAATGCATTTGCAATACGCTAAAGCTATTGGTTGCCCATATGGAGATATCAGCGATTTGATAAATAATTATTCTCTTTGTTTGATTTCTCCCTTGCGACTGATTGCTTTTGCAATTCGCTCACTAGATTTGTGCGAGAAACAATCTTTCAAAGATATGATCATTAAAATTCTTGAATGTGGTTGGATCAATTTGAATTCAAATTTAAATGAAAAAAAATTCACTTGGAAAAAACTTGTTCATTCAAGTCTTAAGATTCTATTCGAAATTGGTCGTTCAGTTCCACAGTTACTTAATGATATACATGAAAACCAAGAATCCTTCACAAAACTTCTTGACACTGCAAAAGCTAAGCAATGATCAAGTAAACGAGAACTTTCAACTTCAAGCATGTGAACTTATTGCACTGATTGTATCTGAAGAACAATTTTCCAGAATAGCTGATATAAAAAAAGGTTCAAATTTTAATTTTGCATAAAGAAATTATAGTTATGATGCTATCTTTCGCTTATCAGATCATTGGACTATTTGTGAAGAAGTTTACTGAAGCAGTAGAAAATGAAAGTATTGACAATGAAGAATACAATGCATCAGCAGAAGAATTGCTCTATGGCTTGAAAAGTTAGTTTTTCGATTCATTCTTTTTATCTGTAAACATAAATTCAAAAGTAAAACAGTGTTGCCTTTTTTTCTACGCTTCCTATATAGATATAATTGAAAACAACATTATTCGAGAGCAACTCGCAGAACAGAATAGTCTTCCATATCTAATTAAGTACGCAAAGAAGTGGCCGAACAATGAAATTCCACTTGAGATCATTTATGCCATTGTATTCACTGCAAAAGGAAAAGAAGAACTAAAGAAAGAACAGTATAAAGACTTCATTGATCATGTTAAGCGACTTCATTTATCGCGCAAAGAAGTAGTTCGACAAACGGCACATGGAATCAGTTGGAAACTTGCTGGTGAAAATAATTTCATTGAGTCTATTGAACAACAAGAAAAGACGCTTCAGAACAGATTACCATATTGTCAGTTAAGATATATTCAAGACAACTTGAAGAATAGCAGTTCACAAAATTCTGTAATAGATACGTTTCACGTGATAATCTCTTATTACTGGAAGAATAAAATACTTTGTCATCAGATTTACGAACATTTTTTGGATGATGGATATCGAGTTTGGATTGATGAGAACGAGATGTATGGTTCGATAATTGAAAGAATGGCTGAAGCAATCGAAAAATCAAACTTCATTCTTATCTGTATGTCGAGTGATTATAAGAAAAGTACTAATTGTCAAGCAGAGGCTGAATATGCATTTAATCGCAAGAAAACAATTATTCCGCTCATTGTCGAACCAAAATTTAAAGCAGACGGATGGCTCGGCTTTATTTCTGGAAATAAAATTTATATCAACTTTGCTGATAGAGAGCATAATGAATTTGAAACAGTCTACAAAATGCTTCTTGTTGAATTGCAACGCAATGGCCTTGCTTTGTTGCAGTCGTCGACTACTTCAAGTTGCTCAAGTAGAGATTCGGACAAAAGAAAATACGAACGACCAAGACCATCAATATTCGAGTCAAAACTGAACACTCAACCAATGCAAAGCGTCTATACACCAATGCCTTCAACTCCTCTATCAAGATATCTTCGCATCACACGAATCGATAATTGGGACACAAAAAATGTTGTCGAATTTCTTGTTGACAATGATTTGAAAAGTCTACTGCCGATATTGAAAGGTACTGATGGTCATGGTCTTATTGAACTTTATCGAGTCTACGAGCGTTCGCCAAACAATCTTTATAAAATTTTCAGTAAAGATAGGCAAAGGATTTCACTTGGAACCTTTTTCAAATTCATCGGAGTTTTGAAAAAATTTATTTGTACTACTGAACAATATTAAGAAAAACAATTATCGAAAAAAAACTTTTTTCATTAAAGTTGTCTCTTGGATTTTTCAGTCTAACGTTAACGTTGCTAATAGTAATAAATGTAACTTGACTTTATATCTCGAAAAAGTGACACATCTACGAGAGAGACTATTGTGTCATTGTCCAGTGTTCCATAATAAACTGCTCAAAAGGAAAGCTCTTCCGTTATCTTTCCTTCCGATTTCACTGATTTTGTTTTGCTTATATATACTACATGGTTCTCTGAAAAAAACTCTAAAATGGTTTGGATTCCTATTGATATCTGATTAAACTCTAGAGCTTTTAATATATAGATTTTCTGGATCTCAGGTTTTCGTTGCACTCATATCTTGAACACAGTCTTTTTGAGATATGACGATTTCGACAAACATTTGTTACATACGCTAGCAATGGAAAAGGGTCTATATCTTGAAAATTTCATATTTCCAAAAGACTTTGTTTCAATCTTGTGAATTTTTTTTTTAATGAAAGCTAGTCTAGTTGAATTTTCTAAATGTGCAAAGTTTCAGATCAAAGTTCAAAAATACGAGTGTTCCGAAAACTTGAAAGTCTACTGTGACTTCTAGAAAAATGCATGTTCACAATTCGATAGTTTAGTCACACATCCATAAGAACCCAAATCCTTTTAGGGTTTTGATTAGAACTGTATGTAACATCTACGTGACCCATTGCAAAAATATTGGATAACATTCAGAAGTAGAATTTTTAATAGCACAGTTCTCTTAGAAATTTTACCTTAAAAAACTGATTGATCTCTCTAGGCTTTTGGAGATGACCTGTTGAAGAATAATGTTGTACAGAAGGCTTCATTTTTTTCATGACATACGTTCGTTCTCTAGCATAAAATAGGCTTTATTTTGTATAAAATCCAGGAAATTTTCTAAACTATTACAAATTAACTTAATATATATATACATACGAGAGTTTATTTAATAATGTAGAATAGTATTCAAAATTTATCATACAGATCTTATGAAAATATTTGTAAATTTAGCAATCATATTCCAAACTATGACCATATTAGTTGAAAGGATGAGAAGATAAAAAAACATAATCAAAGTGAACTCTATTATATAACACATCTGAATTATGGTCTTACAAGTTTAGTTGCCGATGCAGAAAATCTCTTTGAACATGTATTTTATAATTGTGAAGTACATTTTTACGATAATGTGGATGATAGACATAGGCAAATCATTATGGAAGTAGCAGTTAAAAACACATGAAACACCATCTTCTTTATGTGAAGCACGCTATCTTGACGACTAGTTTTTAACTGATTTTTTTCAACGTCCATCAATGTAAATATGTATAATAACAACGCACTCTAAGTATTTTTATCAGCATAGGTTCTCTTGATATAGTTTGACAAATCCATGATCAACCATATCCTTCTTATTAGGCATGCACCAAACCCAAACCGTTTGGGTTTGGTGAGTTTGGGTATTGAGTTTGGGTTTGGGTTTGGGTTTGGGATATGAGTTTGGGTTTGGGTTTGGGTTTGGGATATGAGTTTGGGTTTGGGTTTGGGTTTGGGTATTGAGTTTGGGTTTGAGTTTGGGTTTGGGTTTGGGTTTGGGTATGGGTATTGTGTTTGGGTTTCAGTGTCAGTTTGCTACATTAACCC